TTTCTGGTGGTCAGAATAGTTCACTAATGGTAAAGAAAGCACATTCTTCAACTAATGAGGGGCCCAAATGGAAACTGTAAATAGCCCTTCTAATTTGGCATGAGCACCTTTCAGAACTGCAATATATACTTGAAACACAAAACAAAACAAAAACTAAGATTTCTAATAATCAAAATCAAGGTGCGAGGCAGATGCAAATAGTGGAGTAAAGGAGAAAGTAAATTACTTTTTACTTAGCAACCATATACTACAACAAGAGATATTTAGCTTTACTAATGAGATCTGAAATATATAAAGCTATCTCCAAGTTAATGAAGATGTCAACCTGATATGCAGCTGCTATGGGGGGAAAAAGGCAAATTCCATGCTATATATCTTTAGGAAGGAATTGAAAATAAAACTGTCAGTAATTATGGTCTACAGTATATTATAGTATACTATACTATAAATCTATAGTATGTCCACATCTGGAATACTATATTCCATTCTAGGTGCCAGATTTAAATGGAGGATATATAATACAGCTGGAAAAAAGTGCAAAAGAGGCAACCAAAATGATTGTAGGGTTTGAACACCTACTGTACTGAGAAAAAGCTAGTATGCCATCATGTACCTATGTTCATTTCTGTAATGTTATAAGAAAAAAATGGGCCTAGTCAAATATAACAGATGGAGGTCCTGAAGTTCCAAAAGCTCGTGACTTAAAACATTTTTTAGGAAAATATTCTTTTCAAACTATCTCTCCATATCATTAAATAATTCATAGACTCACAGAGCTGGAAGGGGGCATTTAGGTCACAAATCCAAACCTTGGGTTGACATAAAACTCCAAATTAAAACACCCTTGAGAGAAGGCTGACCAGCTTCTGCTTGAACATCTATTATAGGTAGAAAATCTGGCACTTCTATGGATAATTGGTTCAATTTTTGAATTATTCTTAATTTTAGAATTTTACCAACAATCACAAACTGTTTTTGCTTAAATCCATTTTTACATGTTCTCAACTCTGGGACAATAAAGAACAAGTTTTGACCTTATTTTGTATGACATATTTTGCAATATTTAAAGATAACACCACTTCTTTTCTTCCTGGGGCTGAGCATTCTTAGATCCTTCACTCTCTTTACAGCTTTCTGGTCAATTTTGTGACTTTTCTCTGAATTTGCACCAGCTTCTTTGAACTCTTCTTAAAGGGCAGTTTGTGCCATCTAAAACTGCTTTTATATTTTTGCAGCCATATCACAGTATTGACACATAATCCTCAAGTGTATGATTTTTAACTTATTTCCTCCCAATGATGCACCTCAACCACAGAGCAGTCCCTGCCAAAGCTTTTGCCTCCCAAAAAGATGAGTACAAGACAGGAACCCATAGTGCATGACGGTTGTATCAATTCAACTGATCCTCATTTCAATTGTTGCCCTTCCCTAAAACAGTTCAGAGAACTCAAATAATCTTACACTATCCTTGTATCTCTTGAACTTGAATTGTGGAGCAGCAAGGGGCCAAGCAATCAGAAAGATAAAAAGAGACTTTCATCCAATTTCCTCATGAACACATGACTTTTACATTTATTTATTTTTTCAAAAAAGTGGTCTGTGGCATACAAATGCTTTCTGCATTTTAGTAAGTGATTGTGTGCTTTATGGGTTTGATGGTTTTTGTAGTGTTATTGTGGATGTGAGTCATCCACAGTTGTGTACCAAGATAGGCTGCCAGATAGGTAGGTAGGTAGGCAGGCAGGCAGGCAGGCAAGTTCTATGAATTGGGTACATTATATTTTTCTCCCACCCTTCCTCAAATGGAAACAAACAAGCTATCCCCACCCACCCTTTTATTTACACAACAAATTTGTGAGTTAAGTTCAACTATAAGCTGGTAACCAGCCTAAGATTGCCCAGTCAGCTTTGTGGTTTGTGGCTGAGTAGAAATCTGAACCCAATTTCCCTGATCTCAGTCCAACAGTCCGGTAATTAAATTCACGCTGGCTCTCAAATGTAAAATACAGCCTAAACACAGGAAAACAGACAAAGCTGCAGAAAGATAGACACAGGAGCCTCTTAGTCTAGAAAACTATTTTTGTAGTACATTAGATGATAGTCAGCCTTGACAAGTAAGGAGTTCCAATGGAAATATAGGTGGGTGGAAAGGCTGCTGCTGATCACTCACTTGGCCAAACAAAGTCAGCCAGAAAAGATCAAATAGAGACATGGGGAACTGTTCCTTGGAGTTACAGCTGAAGTTGCAACTGAATATTGGCTAGAACCACAGTGCAGTTCTGATAATGGTGGGGGTCTATCTAAAATATTCAGGCTCAAAACCCAGCTTAATAATGATGCTCTCTGGATTGCTTGGAGCAAGTATACTTCTTAGCTTTACCTACCTCACAAAGCTGCTGTTTTGAATTAGGAACAGGGCACAAATTAAGGTTAACATAGAAGTATATAGCATCTATGAGACTGAGCTGTGAAATAAAAAGTTCTGGTGCCAATCCTGTCTTTCACAAGCCTCACAAAGGGTGACTCGGGTTTCACCTACTGGGGTTTCAGGAAAGAGCACAATATGGACATCTACATCAAGGAAAAATTGTTTTATCTAAGGGCCTTTGCAGCATAACAACTTGTTGTCTTGGGATATTTTTAATCATCCAGGTCATGGTTGTCCTGAAGGTGCTTTTCAAAAGGCAACTGGGCTTTATTTTTATTTTCTTTGAAAATGTTTCACTTCTCAGGATGAGAAGTGAAGCATTTTCAAGGAAAACAAAACAAAGAAAATGGAATAACAACTCCTTCAACACATTTTCTCCATGCCATGGCAAAAGGCAGAACAATAAAAAAGGTAAAGCTGAAGTACTTGGCAATTCTCTTTTATAAGGTGTTCCAGAGATAAAGCATAAATGCATTGTAGACAGCAAGTACTGTATCTTCTCAAAATGAATAATTAGTAGGGCTAAGATGTAAGTAGAGCAATGTTAGTCATCTAATGAATCAACTGATTTATTCATTAAAATTTAAAATGGGTGGGTTTAAAAAGCACTAACAGTATCAATCCAATTTAACAACCTTTTTTGGAGCAGTCATTAAGCAAACACTACAGTCTTAAGTGAACCCCTTGTTTGCTGTGAAATGTTTCTGCAAAAAAATGGGAAATGTCTGCTTTCAGCAAAAATGTACATCACAGTCATGTGACCAGCGAAGAGGTATTAAATGCAGTTGCTGAGCACCCAAAATGCTGTCAGGATGGGCAACTTCAGAAATCGATCATCAGTAGCTTTTCAGGGGGGATCCACCATAACTTCTAATGGTTGCAAAGCGTCCTGTCGTAAATCAAATGCTACTGTATTTTATTTTCTTTATAACAATATACAGTAGTCACAATCTTAGAAGAGGCCTTCTTTTTAAACTAAAGGGAGGAAGAATTATGTTTCTACAATGGACTTGCCAATTATGGTTTTTACCTTAAAAATTAATTAATATATCATAAACATGGTGGTGTGGTGGTGGCACAGTGATTAGAAGGCAGTATTGCAGGCTAATTCTGCTGACTGCCAGGAGTTTGATTCTGACTGGCTCAAGGTTGACTCAGCCTTCCGTCCTTCCAAGGTCAGTAAAATGAGGACCCATGGTTTGTTGGGAGCAATATGCTGACTCTGTAAACCACTCTGTAAACCACTTAGAGAAGGCTGTAAAGCACTGTGAAGCTGTATATAAGTCTAAGTGCTATTGCTATTGCTATTTTTTCAACACTGCTATGTAATTATCCTTTAGATTATTAATTTATCTATTAATTATCACAGGTCTCAATAATAATTACAGATGTAGTAGAATAAATTAATGCTTTATTATTTTATTTTTCATTAAATACTTCATTAATAAGAGCAAGTAGTTTAAAAACATTTGATTAATTTCAGTGTTTTGCTGGGAAGTGCTGTATGCTAGAATTTATTTCATACAATTTGCTGAAAATACATTTGAAACTCCAGCAAAGAAGCATGAAAAAACAAGAACCCAACTGGACATTAGGTGCTTAGTTCTTACTACACATTTTAATCTGACTTCTAAATCAGTTCTAATACTACATACTGATAATATAGTTCATTCTTGAACCAACTGAGTTATAAATAAGATAACTGAGTTGATTAAAGAATTATTACAGTTGATATTATATGCTGTTTAACACCAGTGTTCTCAGTAGCAAGTTTTGCAAAGCTGACTTATTGAATGTTATTTATTAACACAATTAATATTCCACATTTCAGTTTAATCTCCACGATTGCCTGTAACATTTCTACTTCAGGATCAGCTCTGTACTCCTTACTTAGATTAAAAAACTCTTTCAACTATGCATTGTAGTTGAAAGTATATGTTCAATATAAACTCTTGACATTTATAGGATAATGCATTGTATTTTAAGCTGTAGGTTTTCCTCACAAAATTTTCATGAAACTTGCACCAGAGTACATGCCCACAGCAACACCTAGGAAAAGGTTGCATAGGAACTATCAGTTATATCAGCTAGACCTCATATTTATAGTTAAAAAGATGCTCAGGCAAAGTATTTTCCCCTGATAGAATGAATCCAACACTGAAAGTAAAATCTAAAGTCTCTCATAATGAAAAGCCAGCCCTAATATTTTTATTGGCCCACCGCTCTTAGGCAAATCAAGATCCAAAGTTTTATATGCATATTTTTAAAAACTATCCACAATTGAAAATGAGCAGCTATTTCTCAACTCCCTCTAGCAACCTTAAAACATTAATGCAATCTGGCCGAATTCTCAACTGATATATAAAATACTACAAAACCAAAGAAAAGTGTGGAACAAACAAAGATCGCATTTGGCTGCCCAAACAAAACATTGGTTTGGACAGGATGTTGTCTATTTTGTTACCGTCTTTCTATTTTGCTTTTAAAAAAACACTGTGCTTTGAAAAACAAATAAGGTGGTAAGGTTCCCAGTAGGGTGCAATCTTAAGTCAATTTAAATAAACAAACTTACCCTAATTTTCCCAGCAAATCCACCTCTGGAACCAATGGTCCATATGTCTCTACATGCAGTGGCTTATAGTCATAGAGTACTTCTTCAATCTTTTGAACAGGCATTAAGGAAATATGCTGACCCTGTTGAAAAAAGACAGGGAGATATCTAAGTTGTGGTTTAGTTTAAGTATAAGAAGCTATTATTTTTATGAAAGCTGAATTAAAATCTTAATATTGACCATTCACTTGCTATTATACAATCATTTTCTGCTTCTAACATGAAATTCTTTCCAAACATCTTAAGATTAGAAAAATAATGGTTTGTTAGCTATAATTCTTAAAGAAGGAGGTGTGGGAAATAAAATTAGTTAATACCAGATTTACATTAACTACATAAATGCAGCTCTGTTACAGATGAATTTATTAGATAAAAAGTTTCATTTCTCATAAGCAAAACCAAGTAAAATCATCATCAGAACTCATCTGCATTTGCTTCAGATAAGCAGCAAATAAATAACAAATAGATAAATAAACATAGTAAAACAAGACCATTACAATTGATCATCAATTATTTCTTGAAAGCTCTAAATGAGAAGTGGAAGCTACTTTTGCATTATCCTGGTATCTATCTATCTATCTATCTATCTATCTATCTATCTATCTATCCTCTAAACTACCATATGTAATGGCTGTAAGAATTGATGTTTGCTGTAACATTGAAATTAATTCAACAAATTCCTACAATCTTTAAAAAAATAATTTGAATTTCTCAAATTAGTCTTCAGACAAAAGAATATCTTTAAAATTCTTCACGGTCTGAGATTAAAGCAAGTACCACAATAGTATCAAAATTTGAGAGGATCCAGAGTCCACTGGAGTTGGGCAGCTATAATGAATTTAAAGAAATAAATAAAATTTGGATTTGTTACAGTCTACTCTATACGTTTTTCCCATTGCTGTTCAGCCATAATATTAACAGAAATAGAAACTTTGATGTACAATAACTGTACAAAAATCAAGTTTATGTTTATCAGAGCTGGGAATAATTACACATATCAACAGGCATATCTCTCCCCCAAAAAAACAGAGTCCTGCTGTGGTGCCTCATTGTGGCAGAAGGAGTAGTATTTAAGATTTATAAGGCTGCCCACCTTCGGAAACAACTCTGGGCAGCTCGCAAGAATAAAACCAATAAAATAAACAAAACCATAAAACCAAAATCTGGCAACTCAGCCCTCCTCCTTGTGTGCCTCCAACAAAACCATCCACAGGCTCTCACCTCACCCTAATCCAACTCTTGGGGGAAAGAGGTGCAATAAATTACACACTCCTCGAAGAATTAGAAGTTCCTATCTTCCAGTTTGCATTGATTGCAGCTTAACACAGTACTCAAATACTGGATTGTAATTAATTATTTGGTTAGATGAAATAAGTCAGATTCAAAATCTTGTTCTGAAGTTAGATTCTTTCAAAGATTTGGACTGCTCATCAAGATAATATTAACTCTAGGTTGTTATCCCATTTTTGCATTGCTTAATCCTAATCTCTCAATTCCTATCACTCTGATGAAATCGAGCAGGGTGGGGATGCTCCAAGACAATATTTTAAAAATCATATATCAGGAGATAGATGAATCTAATACAATTTCTCCGCAATTTCCAGATAAAGTAAATGTCTGCTTAATATAGAAGTACCAGTCTACCTGCTTATGGAGCATATTTAAGGATTATCTCACATAGAGCTATTGATTTTTCCCCCCACCTATTCCATCAATACATCAAAACATTCTGGATTGCTGCTATACTTATAGCAGCAGGTGTTGATTATGATGGGGCAGAAGAGTTAGTGGGTGCTTCTTGAAACAAGACACTTATTTTCCATTTGAAGCTCCAGAAACATTTGTCAAACTCTCATTTGTATTACATCCACACCCGGATATAACCATGCAAAATTTAACAATAACTAGAGAAAATATATAATGCATTATTTTGGTCCAACTTACTTAGGTAAGCAGAATTCATTCCCAGAGATTTTGAGAAGGCTCAAGTTCAATGGTATAGGATAGCTTCAATCTACCCAGCCCATTTCTATTTAAAGGGCTTCAAGTAGAACTATAGAAGAGCCTCTGCCTGAAAACCTGGAGAATCAGTTGATCCTGGACTGATCAGTGCCCAATCTAAATTATCCTGCTAATTAGTTCTACAAATAGCACGCTGGCATTTGAGGACCATAAAAGAAAAGTGTGGATACAGATGTTGGCGGAAAACCATACTAAACCTTAAGTAGCAAGCAAATAAAATTCATCTCACCGTAGCAGAAATGATAGACCAGTTGATTACATATAAGTAGTCCTCAACTTACGACCACAATTGAGCCCAAAATTTATATTGCTAAGTGAGAAATTTGATGTGAGTTTGGCCCCATTTTACAACTTTTCTTGCCACATTTGTTCAGTAACTCACTGCAGCTATTAAATTATTACCAACTTGATTATTCTATGTTCTATTAACATGGTTGTTAAGTGAATCTGGTTTCCCCACTGACTTTACTTGTCAGAAAGTTGCAAAAGATGATCATAGGATGCTGCAACTGTCATAAATCTGAGTCAAACATCTGAATGTAAATCACATGACCATGGGGATGCCACAATGGTTATAAGTGTGAAAAATGGTCATAAATCCCTTTTTCAGTGCTGCTGTAACTTTGAATGGTTACTAAGTGAATGGCTGTAAGTTGAGGACTACCTGTCTGTGCTTGCTCAGTCTGCTATCCAAGTACCAACACCAGATAAGAAAAAGACCAAGGCCCTTGTTTATGCTTCTACCTCCTTAAATTGGATTGAGCAATGTTACTCAAAGGGAATATCCCCTGGCAGGAATATACACACAGCAGAATATAATCAATTAAAGCTTCAAGAGCGCATTGCAGTACCCCAGACTGCCTTGGCAAACTCACAAGGATGCCTTGTGATCTTATTTGTTTTTTTAGACATTCATTTGTGATACCTTATTTTTCCAGAGCTGGGTTTTCAGCAGTCTTTTGCCTTGGGGGTATTGTGAAAAAAATTACTATCACACTAATGCCATGATAATCTTTGCAACCAAATGATACTTTCCTTTTACTTTCTGTAATGATCACAATAATCAAGCTGTTGAGTTCCTTCTAAATCAAAGTTAAATCTCTTTCAGATGGAAAAACCACTTAATAAATAAATAAAACTACTGTAATAGTTTTGGATATCTGGTCTCCTTTTCAAGAGTATTCAGTTGCGCAGGACATCAAGGGTCATCAAGGAATAATTTTCACATCTAAGGAGTACAATAAAGGAATATCTAATTGTATTAGTTATGGAATATATATGCTGAAAACAAAGCCAGATACTAGCAGTTAATAACATTTTTGGAACACAATGATGAAAATGATGAATTACTTTTGCATAAATGTAAAAAGACAAAGGTTGAATATGTTTTATCCACACAAATATGTGTCCATTATTTTTCTCATAATGGCTTGGACCCAAATATTTCTAGTGAAATTGAAAGAAAATTCCTGATTGATAAAAAGCCCCTATAAATTATTCTGTGTTTTTGTCCTGCTGTGCCTCTCCCCCTCCATATTCCATCACTTGTAATCTCCTGGATGACATTTTGGGAAATATCAAGAGGCTAAAATGGATGAATAAATTTATGTTTAATCCTATTTTAGGTGTACATAGTTGGATACTCCAAACAAAACTGTTCATAAAACAAACATTTATCAAGTTCACTAAGGTTAAGATTCTATTCCAAACATTTATTTTCTGCTGTATGTATTCAGTTCTCCCTTGTGTTATGATAGAACAAATAGTTTTTTTTTTTTATTCCAATATGTGCTTGTGCTGTATTCTTCGCTATAAAATGCGGGCACATTTAATCTACATCTAACACAGAGCATGTTCAGTAAAATTTAAAAATAAGCACAATACTCTGAAGCAATTAGCAGAGATATCTGTTTAAAGACTAACATCACTCTGAAGCCTTTTTGGAAATAGCTCCCCAAACAGAAGCACTCATTTTCCACCTGTTGCTGTCACATATGTTCATGCCACTCAGGCACATTTGCTAGTGCACATTCCTGTGTTTACTAATTAATCTCTCCATTGCTCTTTCCCAAGGGCTATCTGCCATTTGCAATGTGCGCCCCTTTTTTATTTAAAGAGATAAAGGAAGGTAACCGTTTCGATTGAATTTTCTTGTCTTTTCTTAAGAGAAATCAGTGCCTATAAAATGTTGCTATTCCATTGTAAGCCGCCTTAAAATTGAGAAGCCAAGATATGGAGTGCATTTTTTCCTTTATATATGAATCTGTTTAAATGAATTCTGCATAACATAAATCTCAGGACTTTTATTATATTGATAATGTTATTCTTGTGCCATTCATTAAAATTATCACATTACTAAACTAAAAATCACCCCCAATGCTTTAGAAAGCAATACATTAGCTGATGTCCTAAGAATTATCCATTTGCTGTACAACTTTTAAAAAATAATATTTAAATCTCCAGGGAGTCAAATTTACATATTAACAAAGTAGGTTAACTGTTGCATGGCTGACTTCTCTGACCTTGCCTCCGTTCTGCCACTTTATCTGCTAGGATATGGAGGCCGGGGAGGGGAGGGATTTCACCTATCAGATATCATTGGACTAATCACACTCAATGTAGGGATTATTTACCAAGAATATGCCACTCAGTGCTAAGACCCACACAGGAGATGGGCTCCATTACAAGCAAAATGTTTAGAGTCTCAGAGATAAGAACTTGGGAAAGTTTTTATCAACTTTCATCTTGCCTCATGAAAGTGCTCAGGACTTGGATCATTTTAATTACTTCTGACTGAAAAAATTAAGGGAAAGAAGGTTTCAGATTTCTAGGATGGGGGGTGGGGGGGTTGCTTAAGAAAGAATGAATTGCATTTGACCCATTGCAAGTGAGATTTCAAGTTATGTTTAAATACTCTCCCTCCCCATCACCATAAAGCTGTTCTCATTTGGTAATGCAAACTAGCTCCTTGACCTTCACAACAACCTCTGAGAAAACAGTTGTACATTCTACTGTGGTGTAAATCCTTGCAGACAAGTCGAACCTGTTCTTTCTGGCATCT